TTTCTCTATGGTGTCTTCAGAGTCTGAGATTCGTTCTTCTATCTCTTGTATTCTATTGGTTATGCTTGTTTCTGAAGTCTCTGTTTGTTTACTTAGATTTTCCATAGCCAGCTGGCATTTGGTTTGTGTTTTCTTCATTGCCTCCATTTCAGTTTTCAAATCTTGAACTGTTTCCGTTACCTGTTTGATTGTTTTTTCTTGGTTTCCCAGGGTTTCATTTACGGATTTACTCATTTCTTCAAACATTTTGTTATATGTCTCTTCCATTTCTTCAATATTTTTGCTGTACTTCTCTTTCATTTATTTACCACAGATTTTCACCTCCTGTTTAAGTTCCTCTATTATTTTCATAAAGTTCCGCTTAAGGTTGATTTCTTCTATTTCTTCTGGAGTAGGGTGTTCAATTCTTCTAGTTTCATGATCCCTGGATTCTGGTGATGTCATATTGCCTTTCAGGTTGTTGGAGAAATTCTTGCATTGGCGCCTGCCCATCTCTTCCTCTCTGGATGGGACTCCTCAGCATTCTCTGGACAGAACTCCTCAGCACTCTGGATAGAACTCCACAGCACTGAAATAGGGACAGCTTTTCCAGCAGGCCAGCTTATATCTTTCCTCTCCGGTGGTCTGAGCAGAACTCTCGGTTTTTTGTATATATAATTAATAGTAATTTCCCTCCTGTTTTTTTTTCTTTCAAGACAGGGTTTCTCTGTAGCTTTGGAGCCTGTCCTGGAACTCACTCTGTAGACCAGGCTGGCCTCAAGCTCACAGAGATTCCCCTGCCGGCTTCCCTCCTGGTTTAAACAATAATCTTCCCATGTATTTCAAGGGAGGTACTTCACTTTTCTTCTTTTTAACATTCATTCATGGTGCGTGCGTGTGTGTGTGTGTGTGTGTGTGTGTGTGTGTGTGTGTCCTCTTTCCTAAATACTTGTAGTTCAAATAATGGCTTAAGATGTTGATTCTCAGTCACTTTCAGGTTTGGATCTTCAAAGTTCTGATTACTTCGGTTTGGAAACATTTTCCAGGTAACATACATTTAATTTTAATAAGTAAAAGCTTGTTATTCCTACCCAAATACTTCCTACCTTCCTTCTATCTGAATAATTTGAAGATGACAATTAACTGTTGTTGAGAGTTTTCCACCCTGTATGCTTCAGTGCAAAACACTTTTAGAGGACAAGAACATATCCAGGATTTCAGGCCGGTAGTAGAATTATCAAGTCTCTGCACTTCTCCTGAGGTCGGCTTTGCAACTTTTCAGTCCAAACTAACGCCTGAAAATCACCTGGTACTGATAACTATAAGATGGTTAGCTTCTAAATAATTAATATCTCTGCTCTGTGCCTTATGGAAATTTGAAATGCACTTTAAGAAGAATATTTTATATGAGATTATTTTAGAATACCTTTTCCCAACCCATCTTTTAGGGGAAAAAAAGTGTCTCCTAAGTCGCTGGCTGGCCTGAAACTCACTATGTAGAACAGGCTGCTTTCAAACCTGGGCTACAACTGCCTCTGTTTACCGGATGCTGGGATTACAGTACTGTGCTACCTTGCCTGGCACATCTCTCAGTTAAAATCTAGTTTGAGCTTTGGTGGGTGGGGGTGGAGATCAATCGAGATGTGCGATGTGGAGGGAGGGGAAGCTAGGGCCTACAGAGCAGGGCTGGGAGGCCAGCCGCTCACCTCCTCCAGGTGCAGGTGGGGCCAGTCTTGAGCCCGGGTCGCTGAGGTCATGGGGGATGGCTGGGGATAAGGGGAGGCTGCTGCCAGGTCTCTGGGCCTTCAGTGGGTGGGGGTGGTGCTGGGGATGTGCCAAGGGAGTAACTCAGAAACTCACCTCCAGGTGCATGCAGGATGGTTGGGAGAAGGTACTGGGAGCTGGAGGAAGGGAAGGAGAGGGAACCGGGATTGGTACGTAAAATAAAAAAAGATTGTTTAAAAATAAAAACAACAAAAAACTAGTTTTAGGCCAGTGAGATGACTCAGCAAATAAAGGCACTTGATGCCAAATATGATGCCCTGAGCTCCACATGGTGGAAAGAGAGAACCATCTCCTGCAAGTTTTCCTTTAACCTTTCTAAATGTGCGGTGACACGCATGAGTACGGGTGCTCGCTTGCGCGCGCACGCACACATATATATACACACACACACAGACACACACATAGACACACACACACACAGACACACACAGGCACACACTACTACTACTACTACTACTACTACTACTACTGAAGAGTACTCTAAATACTGAAGAGAACAGTAATTTGCTGAAATCTGTATGATTTTTAAAAATAGTGTCCAGGTCTCTGGAAGCCCTCATACATTATGTGAAAGAGTTTTCACAGTTTTACTTTCCCACCTACCAAGTTACCAAGAGAAGAAATAACTTTTTTGTTTGTGTATGTCAGGCCCAATAGGAGAGTCAATTATGGGAATTCAATTTTTTAAATTTCTTTTTATGTGTATGGATGTCTTACCTGCATGTATGTCTTTGCACCAGGTATGTCCTTGGTGCTTTCAGAGGTCGGAAGAGGGTGTACAATTCCCTGGGATTATAGTTACAGATAATTGTGGGTTGCCACATGGGTCCTGGTATTTAATCCTGGGTCCTCTGGAAGAGCAGCCGGTACTTTTAACCTCTGAGCCATCTCTTCAGCCAAGTGTGAGATTTTTTGTTGGATAATGTTTGACTTTTGAGCCTAAAGGTATCAAGGCATGAAAGGTTCCTGAAACTTTTCTTTGTACAAAAATCCCATAGTTCAGAGGGGAAGCAACAAGAAGTTAGAATTACTGGATTTCAAAATCACCTGGAAAAGACAAGATTGGGCATACATGGGAATGCATTCCTGAATGTTCCTTCCTCTAAGCTGCCCATGGGGCAGTGATGCTGTCCTTGCTGTAAAAGAATCACATTAGATAGACAACTGCTTTTGGTGGTGTTTGAAATCCACAGTTGTGGATGGGAAAAAGGAATGAAAAGTATTGGGTGAGTCACGAAAACTGGTTTGGTAGGGTGAGATGGCTCTGCAGATGACGGTCCCAGATAGTGAAAGGAGAGAGCTGATTTCCCCAACTTCTCCTCTGACCTCCACTGAGTGTGCTTGTGTGAGAGAGAAAGAGAAGGAAAGAGAGAGAAAGAGAGAGAGAGAGGGAGCATGCATGTGTGTGCACGCATGTGTATGTGTGTATGTACATGATGTGTGTGAGAGAGAAAAATAAATGAACGAATAAATAAATAAAATGTAATACAAATTTACAACACTAAACAGTGTTTTCCTGAGCAAGTAGCCCCCTTCTACCATGCTTTCTCTGGCTGCCTCTCTCTTCCCTTTCTTTCTTTTTCCTCTCTCTCATTGATATGAAGTCTCACTATGCTCACTATGTTGCCTCAGCAGGTCTCTGACTTCTAGAATTGAGTCTCCTAAATTCTGGTCATACACCAGAATATACCATGATGCCACAATAGTGATTTGTGATGTCTCTACCTCCGGTGAGTGGCAAGTCTGGTGTACATTTGACACTTTTTTTTCCTGAAGGGCCTACAACAATTTCATCTTACAAATTCTGGTATAGATACAACATTTTATCTGAAGGAACTACAATAACTTCACAGTACAATCACGCTCATAAAATAACCGGCAATTATTCAAATATAAACCTCTTACTTTGAAAAGTTAAATGCTTTCAAAATTGCGATTCTGGTCCCCTTCCTCCATGCTGCGTTTTGGTTTTGGCTGCTGTCTGCCTGGGGAGACTGGCATAAATGAAACAGCATTCTGATCGTTTCCGAGTTTCAGCACTGGGAAGAGAACCTATGGCCTCATGCATACTCAACCACTTTTTATTACTCTAGCCATGACTGCTGGCTTGCAAGAATTATTCTAAAACATCATCCTTTGCTTGGAGCAACATTAGACCAACAGATTTCCTTTCAGTGTTTCACCTCTAGCAACTAGGATTCTGTCCGGGTTGTTTAATGTAAAGAATATATACATGGTGAAATTTCTGCTTTTTAAGCTGGGAAATCTATAGCAACAGACTCTCCTGCCTGTGAGTAAGGGAAGGGTGCAATATCATGTTATCATTCTTTATATTTATCTTACTTTTAAAAAAATGCATGGTCTGCCTATGTATCACTAACTGGACTGGAACTCACTTTATAGACTAAGCTGGCCTCGAAATCAGAGAACTGCCTGATTCTACTTTCCAGGAGACTGGAATTGAAGGCATGAGCCACCACTCCCAGCTTATGGTCTTTTTTTATATTTTAAACGATTATTTATTTATGTATGTGTGATGTACCTTGAGTGCTGGTATGCATCGGCCACAGCGCATGTGTCAAGTACAGAGGACTAATCTGGTGAGTCAGTTCTTTCTCTCCACTGTGAGTTCCAGGGATCAAATTCACTTAGTCAGGCTTGTCTCAAGCACTTTCACCTCCTGAAAGATCTCTCTGCCCCCTCCCTTTCCAGTCTTGATGAGCTAACTCTCCTTTCTCTCAAACAGCAGAGCTATAGGGCCAGAATGCCTACAAACGCTATACCCTCCACAAATGAGAAAACATTGATTTATAAAATTAGGGCATTGGTCAGGTGACTGGCTGCTATTCCCCCCCCCAACATCTCCCTGCTTAGAAATGACTGCTTCCTTTCCCTGAAACACCCCCCAAATCATCTGGTCTGGCACATGCATGTGCTCTTTCACCTGGGCAAAATAGTAATGGAGAGGGTGAGGTGTGCAGAGAGACCGCGTGTTACTCTATGTATACTCGCTTTGGGCTCTTGGAAAATTTCATGATGAACAAATCCTGTTGAGAGTAACCTAGGGATACCATCTTATAAAAGGAGGCCTCTGCAATAGTCTGTTTAAATTTCATTCCCTTAGCAATTTCCACCCATGCCCTTAACCCAGGATGATTCTCAAAGCCAATGTGCTACTAAACCAAACTTTTATTGAACATTAACTCATAACTTTACATAGAGAATAAGGCATTAACTTTGCACACAATTTCATTTAACAGGTATTTGATAAGTAACTTTTAACAATGTCTATAAACAGAATGAATCTTATTGGAAACACTTCAGGAAAACTGATGTAGACTTCAGTTTTCAGGACCTTAGAACTGGCCATTGGGGTTGGGCCCATATCCCATACCTGCATTGGGCATTTGAGCATTAGGTGGCACATTTGGCCAGGGAAATGGAGGTGGATGGGGTGCCCTAGGTGCCCTAGGTGCCCTAGGTGGCATGAATGGTGGAGGAACCAGGGGTGGGAGAGGCAGCATTTGAGGATGGATTGGCTGGGGCGCCACAGGTTGATACTTCCAAATAACCTCCACAATAGGGATAGGACCATAATGATCATCAATGTATAGACCCACAGGGGGACTCATGGCAACCGGAAACATGCTCCTGCATAAATGTGCCCGCTGAAGTTGTCTCCACTTGGTCCTTCTGTTCTGGAACCAAATCTACAATTAGAGGGGGAAACATTTGTTTAGGATATTGGACAACTATTGTCATAACAGGAAAGAAAAAAAAACCCTACAGGCCACTAAAATTAGAACTACTGAGCTAAGCCTGGTGTAGAGTTTAAAATACTGTTGTATTTCTCTTCTCCCCCTTTAGTGCTGTTTTAACTATTTTCCGGGCCTTGGACGGAGGTGTGTTACTTGCATCCACGTGCATGCGTGTGTGTGTGTGTGTGTGTGTGTGTGTGTGTGTGTGTGTGTAAAGTGTCACTCGGAAAATCTTAAGTTTTTCTTTTCCTCAGAATCTGCTTTGTTGACCTCTCAACCTGAGTTAGGTCTGCCTAATGGAGTAGCCCGTGGCATCAAGATACTCTAACTCAGTGGCCTGCTTTGGTGGGGGTGATGTTCTGTATGTCTCAACAACAGATACACAGATACACACATGGACTCTATGACAAAAGACGCCTATACTTATTTTTTACTTACTACTTATTTGATTCAATTATGTTTTAAACATTTTCCCCATAACCCTATATAGTCACCTTTTAATTTCATGAAATAGAAAATTTATCAATACCTAAATAAATGGAAAAGGTATTTTACATTAACACAGAGAAGAAGGTAGCCTGAGAGCACTTTCAGATTCCGGAAAATATAGGTTAAAATAAAAATCACCAAAAAGGAAAACAAGACCTTACATGTAAAAACTTGTTTTTGCCCTTTGAAAATTCAAATAACCAGATGCTTCTTCTGGATCCCTTGGCCATGTGATCAATTAGGTTAGCATTAAATACAATGAGCATCACAGTAAAATAAAGCATGCACATCATTTGGACTTTCAATAGTTTTTCTGGCAACTTAGAAAATAAAATTTTCTCTTTAAACCTGGAAAGAGGAAATTTCTGAATACAAAAGTTACTTGAACTTTATCTGTAGTTTCATGAAGTTGAACTTGTATGAAATGCGGAAAGATACCTATCTCAGACCACACATTTATAACTTTTCTATCCTTCAAAGGTCAGTGAAACAATATGAAATTGTTAATACTATTTTTGTTCATTTGCAGGGTTGTGTATGAGCCCTGAACCTTACATATGCTAGGAAAATGCCATGGATGTAGCTTAGTAGCCAGCTAAACAGCATTTGGGAGGCCCAGCATTCAATCCCCAGTATTCACACATCAAGGCTGGGGGGGGGCGAGTGCGGGCACATCCCCCCACCCCCTATAGACATGCACACACTGAAAAGAGAAAAGACCAAAGAAACACACCAACTTGAGAATTCCCAGGACAAAACATTACCTACAATGTGTTTTTGAATACCTGTCTTACCTAATTGCTTTTCCAAAATTTACTAACCTGCACTCTGGACTCAGGCAAACCCAGGCGTTGGGCAAGTTCCATTCTGATGGTAGAAAATAAGTAATGTTTAGTATTGGAGTTGTGGCTAAAAAGAAAGATATGGATGTACATTAAATCTAACCCCACCTCCCAGTGCAGTTTTCTATAATATGCAGAGACTTGATTTAGGGAGTGGCTTCCCAGTCACAAGTTATCTCTTCAACTGAACATTTAAAAAAGGAATATGTGTGAAAATGTCTGCTACTTAACTAAATATGACTTTTTTTCTGTTTGTGAAGCAGTAGAGAACAACCCTCAAAATATTTTTCTTGAGAGGTTGTACTGTACAAAAATCAAACTGCCAAGTTACCCATAAAGTGCAACGTCCACCTGCCACCCTGGTCTTGCTGCTCCGGACTCAACTCAAGACTTTGGGCTTTCTGGGTAAGAACTCTTTACGCTGAGCTAAATTCCTAACCCTCAAATGGTCCTTAAGGGCCTGAATATTTCTGTTTATTCTAAGAGGGAGAGGTAAACTCTCAAAGAAGGAAATACAAAACTATTTAGGCCCAAGTGTGCCCAGTAGAAATTATTCTTTTCTGTTCCCAATCTGAAGACTGAGTGCCGCGAAGTCAGAGCCGACTCTGCCTTCTTTACATACACCAAACGACCCCGCCCCTCATTTCACCCAGGCTAAAATGAATGGGCTCTTCCCCCTATGGCGTCAGAACCACAGCGCAATTAGAAGTTTCAGCGCTTTGCAGGGCTACGTGGGGAAGAGTGGCAGATGTAGCCGCCGCGCCCTACTGGGGTCCTCCGTGGCGCTCACCTCACGCGCAAAATCAAAGGGTTTTAAAGTTCACTAAATGCGGAAAGTCACTTTTTACTATAATATTTTTAAAACGCCAAACTGCACAAAACAAAAACTCGAAATTTATGCTTACAGACTATTAATATTTTAAATAAAGCGGGTTCCAGCTTGGTAGAGCAGCGACCTCCTCGCTCGACGCATCCCGCCCCCGCTCCCGCAGCCACCGCCCTCACTTCCCAGAGTGTCGCTCGCTCACCCCCAGCCCACGCCCGCTGCCCCTCCCCCCTTGCCTCGCCCCTTGCCCCCTCCGGTCGCTCGCTCCGTCAGGCCCCTCCCCGTGGCTCCTCCCCCCGCCCCCGCTCCCATTCCTTCGCCCCGCCCCATTCATCGCCCCGCTCCCCGCCCCATCCACCCCCATTCCGTCGCTCCGTCGCCCCCCTTTCCCCGTGGCCCCTCCCCCCCGCCAATTCCTGCCGGTGAGCACTAGCTTTGCCCCAGCGGAAAGATCTAAGATGGACCCCAGGCTCTTGGCGCTCCCTAGCCGATTCCCGCCTCCAAAGAGCTACTACCCAGCAAACCCCCAAGCCCGCCAGCGAAATGGGCGCCAAAGAAGAAAAACAACCGCTCACCGAGCAAACACGTCGGGGTACTGGACACGCTGGAAGGAGGCCTCCAGCTCCCGCAGTTGAAGCTGAGTGAAGGAGATGCGGTAGCGACGGCGCTTTGG